TGGCTTCCCATAGGTGTCTTCTAATTGTTACAGTATTCACAGGTAACTTTGTAGACCTCCTTTAATCACCCTGGAGCTGATCCTTGGCTGAGTCTTTGCCATTTAGTCTATTCTTCGATCCATTCGAATGGTACTTTTCCATGTGTCGCTCCCCCCCCCCCCCCCCCCCCATCTTTCAGGTTTTGGTTGCCATTTTAAAGCATTTGAGATCATTTTAGCTGAGCAGCCTATGAGTCTCTGCACTTTTTTATATGTTTTTCCCTCTCCAATCAACTTTTTAATCAAAGTATGCTGTTCTCTCTGAAAATCTGATTAAAATAGGTCGTTCCAGGCATTTATTCAGAAGAAGTGCACTATACCCAGCATGTACATTTGCCGCCTTTGTTCTTTAATAAGGGCTACCTTTTTGACATCTGTTTTTTTCACAGACTGAATGAGCTCACTACTTGAACTCCACACTGCTATTATTTTGAACATGCCCCTTTCAATTAATGATTTAATTACACAGAATCAGCAGCATGCATGTCATGACTGTTGGGTCTGTTGGATTTCTATTACTCTACTACACTTGCTAGTAAATGATTTGCCATGTAGAAGTATAATTTATACCAAAAACAGTGATTGATCAGGTTAGTGATGTTGGACTGCTATTACTTTGAACACAACTGTATATACTGCTGATGAGAAAAGGTTTTATTTTTACTAAAATAATTGTATTTCCATGCTCTGTGTACTGTGGGAGACCAGATGTAGTGAATGCAGGGTCCTGGGGGGACCGGATATAGTGAATGCAGGGTCCTGGGGGACTGGATATAGTGAATGCAGAGTCCGGGGAGACCGGATATAGTGAATGCAGGGTCCTGGGGGACTGGATATAGTGAATGCAGGGTTCTGGGGGACTGGATATAGTGAATGCAGGGTCCTGGGGGACTGGATATAGTGAATGCAGGGTCCTGGGGGACTGGATATAGTGAATGCAGGGTCCTGGGGAAGACTGGATATAGTGAATGCAGGGTCCTGGGGAAGACTGGATATAGTGAATGCAGGGTCCTGGGGAAGACTGGATATAGTGAATGCAGGGTCCGGGGAGACCGGACATAGTGAATGCAGGGGCTGGGGGGACCGGGTATAGGGAATGCACGGTCCTGGGGGACCGGACATAGTGAATGCAGGGGCTGGGGGGACCGGGTATAGGGAATGCACGGTCCTGGGGGACCAGGCATAGTGAATGCAGGGGCTGGGGGGACCGGGTATAGGGAATGCACGGTCCTGGGGGACCGGACATAGTGAATGCAGGGGCTGGGGGAACCGGGTATAGGGAATGCAGGGCCCTGGGTTTAGTAACACTTTAATACTATAATTATGATTGCACTTCATTGCACCCTTTGTCACTTTCACAAATCAGGAGCTGGATTCTGGGCTGAGAAACTTGACTTGATCGAAAGTACTGACATTCCATGAGATGTAAACCCTAACTGAATGACATTTAGTGTGCTCAGTGTACCATAAACCATTGCTATTATTTTATTTGCATTTTATGATCCTGCATTGCACCTCAGTGCTGCGGATCTCCTGTAGAGTGCCCTTGCAGCCACCTCCTGACTACATGTACTCCAGCAATGGCTGCATGGCTCAGGGCAGATTTTCTGAGAAGAGTGGACCATTCATCTATATTGAGATGGTCACTTGTCTCCATTGGAAGCCCATGTGACAGAGTGACATGTATAAATATATAATTGTGAGACAGAGACAAAGTGTTGTCGCTCCATAAAAGGAACTTCAAGCAGGAACACCAGGGACTATTCTAATAAATGGTGCAGATCTAAAATTATTGAAAATTATGCTTGGAGTGATTTGTTAACCCCTTCCTGCCTACACCAGCATCCCTAGTCAGGAACGCACAGGTGGAATGATAGGCGTTCATGTGACTACGTCACAATGATCACATGATGCAAAACGGGTTCCACCAGCTACCAATCTGTAGCAGGGACCAAGGACTGCCTGTAAAGCTCTGTCTGTGTGCTGAGATCACATTCTCAGAACATAAACCGCCACCTGGCGACATGCCGGCATTAATGCCCACCTTTTGTTATCGCACATATGTGTTTGTGCGTCAAAAAGGGGTTAAAGATATGAGATTTTCATGAATGGGTTTACATATACTTCGGCAGAAATTTTACAGTGCATTTCGATGCATATATATATAATATATATACTTTTATGTATATGTATCTGACAGTTGGATTCATGTGTGTAAAGCGCTGCGCCAACTGTAGGTGCTATATACATCCTGTATTATTAATATTAATGTGGGCGGAGTGAATACCCTACAATGTGGAGGTCCTGGCTGCAATTCCCATTAGCGCCATGTTTTCTGTATGGGTTTCCTTCAAAGGCTCTAATGCACTAATAATTGGTTTCTTCTCAAAATTGGCTCATTGTACACCACAATCCCTGCTTTCAGTGTGTAGTTTCCTAAGCACATTTCCATGCATTTCTGCTTGAATTGTGCTTTAATGTACATGTGTTTGCAGGTCATCAGTGTGCATTTACCTGAGAGAAAATGCATTGGAGTAGTTTTTTTTGTTTGTTTTTTTTTGTAATGTCATTAGCATAATAAGGGGGGGAATATGGTGTCAACATTTAATCCGATAAAACATCAGCTTTAAACTGTGTGTGTGTGTGTGTGTGTGTGTGTATGTATGTATGTATGTATGTGTATATATATGCGTGCGTGTGTGTGTGTGTGTGTGTGTGTGTGTGTGTGTGTGTGTGTATATATATATATATATATATATATATATATATATATATATATATATATATATACTTGGTTCTAAAGTCTGAAGGTTTAGAATGCATGAAGGTAACAAAACCTTCAGTGTTCAGTTCCCCCCGCAGAACCCTAATACTTACCTGATCCCGATCCGGCAATGTGCACGAGAGCATCAGCTCTCCCGGGTCTCTCCCTCCTCATTGGCTGAGACACAGCAGCAGGAGCCACTGGCTCCCACTGCAGTCTTTCACAGACAGTGATGAGCTGGGCAAGACTGAACCACACTGTGTGTGTCCCATAGACACACACAGCCAGCTAGGGAGTGAGCATGTACCAGTTCCCCCATAGCAAGCCGCTTGCTATGGGGGCACTTGGCAGGAGGGAGGGTCCAGAAGTGCGGCGGGAGACCTGAGAAGGGGAAGATCAGGGCTGCTCTGTGCAAAACCATTACACAGAGCAGGCAAGTATGATGTGTGTGTTACTGTAAAGAACAAAAAATTGATCCTAAAACCAATTTAAGCTGGGTATACATGTGACCTGAACAGGAAAGAAGCTGACAAATCCCTGCATCAACACAATGATGTTGATGCAAGGGTCTGTCTGCTGTTCTAATGTATTTGGATGCTGGTTCTCCAGCATGACAGAAGCCAGTTGTTAGACTTCTGTTGGATAGATGATGAAAGTCAGCTGGTCGTGTGTGTGTGTGTGTGTGTGTGTGTGTGTGTGTGTGTGTGTGTGTGTGTGTGTGTGTAACCGCTTCCCGTCCGCAGTATAGCAGAAGTAGTACTGCTACAGGGCAGCACAGGTGCGCAAAATCACTGTGTGTGTATGGGCCTGCTTGATTGGATATGAATAGATTGACTTCTTTTTGCATAATTTCTGGTAAATCTAAAGGATTGTATAAAAATTGTACAATTAGGTTGTAATGTGTGTGTGGCCAGCTTTAGATCATGATAGGAACAGGGACTGGTGAGAAGGGTTCAGCTTAGCCAGTTAGTTAATTAAGTTGAATAAATAGAACCTAAAAGTAAGATTTTTCACAAAAACCTGCTGCATGTGTACTTTGTGACCTTTGCAGTGCTCTGTAATAACATCATCTAGAAATATGCAGTGTGGAGATAAAGCAGAGTTTATGGTGAAGCTTTGTGTTCCAGCAGAGACCACATGTGGTGAGGACACTCAGGGAGGAAGAGGAAGTCACCGGTCACAGCAAGGTAAACACTCACAATGACTGGCTGTCTTGCTGATACAAGAATGCCACTTATGTGCACTTTTTCCTCCTAGCTCAGGGTTGTCGCCTCCCCGACTCCAGTCTGTGCTGCCATGGCGACGTCTGGCCCATTCTGGCCAGTCTCTGCCTGCTCTCTCTCAAAAATGCAGTCTTGTCCAGCCCAGAGTCATTAATTTTCAGGTTTAATCCCAGAGAAAGGGTTTTTTTTTTTTTTTTTTTTTTTTTTTTGGGGATTTATTGCTCTGCGGGCGAGCTGGGATTTGACACAATGAGATAGCTGCACTTCCTGACATCCGTTCTATTCTTACTGAGTGGCGTCAGATCTTCCCCCTGGATATTGGAGGGAGCCAAACGGACCTACAGCTTGTCAGGAGGTCTGTAAAGTGACAGGAACACCAGAGAGGGCACAGGCACTATGGGACACATCGGAGAGGGTATGAGCACTATGGGGTAGATCGGAGAAGGCACAGGTGCTTTGGGACACACCAGAGAGGGCACACTTACTATAGAGTAGATCAGAGGAGCCACAGGCACTATGGGGCATCTCAGAGAGGGAACAAGCACTATGGAACAGGGCAGAAAGGGAACGGACACTGTGGGACACATTGAAGAGGGCACTAGCACTATGGGACAGGGCAGCGAGGGAACAGCACATTGGGACACATTGAAGAGGGCACAAGCACTATGGGACAGAGCAGAGAGGGAACAGACACTGTGGGGCACATTGAAGAGGGCACAAGCACTATGGGACAGAGCAGAGAGGGAACAGACACTGTGGGGCACATTGAAGAGGGCACAAGCACTATGGGACACATTGGAGTGGACGTAGGCACTATGAAACACGTGACAGGGCACACACTTTGCGACGCATCAAAAAGGGCACAGATACTGTGAGGCCCATCATTAACAAGCTGGACAGAGTTGATTTATTGTACAAGTTTTCAGTTTTTTTTTCATTCTATTTTCTGTTTATTTTGCAGCCCCTGCAATTAGATGGCTTCTGTGCCAAGTTTGAAATCGGAGAGATTACCGCTGCTAGAGGACGGGATCCCCCCAGCCAAGAAACCCAGGTAGTTGTTTAAATTTAATCCCTTGTAATGGGAGCCCTAGGGGAAGTGACCCAGACTCAGACCCATGTCCCTGTCTCACCCCTATGTGATTAATGTAATCATCTTCCCTGAGGGAAAAGTGGATTCCCTCAAGGTCGGAGGGAGCTTTGCCGAATGGGAAAGCAGGCGAGAGAAAAGCATGTTGCCAACAGTAATCTACAGTGCGTTTGAAAAAGTATTCATACCCTTTGAAATTTTCCTGATTTTTCATATTACAACCAAAAACGTAAATTTTATTTTATTGGGATTTTATATGATAGAGCAAAACAAAGTGGCACATAATTGTGAAGTGGAAGGAAAATGATAAATGGTTTTAAAAATTTTTTGCAAACAAAAAATCACACAGAAGGTTTGTGATATAACAAGAGCATTTAAGCAGTAGCCATTGCCTTCACGTCTTTCAAAAATCACACTTGTATGACCTTAAAGTTATTATGTGACTATTATAATAATATTCTGCAGAGAGCTGATCTTCCACAATGTTTGTGGAAATGTTCAATCCCACCTTCCTGCTGATAGGCAGAGGTGTTCTGATCAGAACCCACCAATTGAAGAAAAGAGGTATTCCAACCGAAACATTTTTAAGCCCTTTTATTTGTCCCCAAAGGCACCCAATTTGTATTTAGAAGAGCAAAACCATTAAGGAATACCCTGGAGCAAAACCTTAAGTATTTTTTGAGTTACCATATATTTTTAAACCAGACAGCCAACAGTCCTTGCAGAAAGGCAGGGGTTAATCCTTAGTGTAGGTGTCAGGAATGCTTGTCCCACCCATCATCACAGCTGTAGGATGTCTCCATTATTGTTATGCCAGCTTAGGACCATCGCCCTTTCCCGGTCCACTGACTCCCTCATCCTGGTGAGATCAGCTGGAGAAATGTTCTTTTATGTTGGGAAATGAGGTGTAAATGGCCATTAATGGACTGTGTGCACCTCCAAGTAATCTGAGAGAACCTTGCAGCTCAGTTCACTTCATCAGATGAACAGACCATTATTTCAATGTTCTATTTAACTACCAAAAGTGTCTTGGTACACCGACCCTTTCATCCAGCCTCTAAAAGTTTGCACTTGTTGTTTTGAAAAGCCAGTATAAAGTAAAGTACTGATAAAAAGCACTTGTCAGTTTAACCAGTCATTTGTGGTGTATTAACCACTTGAGCTCCTGAGGATTTACCCCCCTTAATGACCAGGCCTCTTTTTGCTACTTGGCGCTGCACTAATTCAACTGATAATTGCGCGGTCATGCAATGCTGCACCCAAACGAAATTTACGTCCTTTTTTTCACACAAATAGAGATTTCTTTCCATGTAATTTGATCACCTGTGCGCTTTTTATTTTTCACACTATAAACAAAAAAACGCCAAATATTTTGAAGAAAAACACTATTTTTTATTTTCAGCTATAAAAAATATATAGTAAACTCAAAGTTGGTTATAAATTTTGGCCAAAATGTATTCTGCTACATGTTTTTGGTAAAAAAAAATCCCAATAAGTGTATATTGATTGCTTTTTGTGGAAGTTATAGCGTCTACAAACTATGGTATAGATACTGCAATTTACGCCATTTTTCTGCTATACAGCGCTGCGCTAGTTTAACGGACAGTTGCGCGGTCATGCAATATGGTACATAAATGAAATTTACATCCTTTTTTTCCCCACAAATTGAGCTTTCTTTCGGTGGTATTTGATCGCCTGTGCTGTTTTTATTTTTTGCGCTATAAAAAAAAAGGCTGACAATTTTGAGGAAAAAAAAAAAACAATATTTTGGACTTTTTGTTATAAAACATGTCCAGTAAAAAAAAAAATGCCAAAATCAAATTTGGTCATAAATTTCTGCCAAAATGCATTCTGCGACATGTCTTTGCTAAAAAAAAACCCAATACGTGTAAATTAATTGGTTTACGTGAAAGTTATAGCGTTTACAAATGGCGGGAAAGATACTGGAATTTTTAGGGTTTTTTTTATACTAATAATGGCGGCGATCAGCGAATTATGGCAGCAATCAGGGACTAATGGCAGGACTGCGGCGGACATTCTGACATTGGGGGGTACTGACTTGGGGTCACTGACATCCCCAAAAACACTAATACAGTGATCAGTGCAAAAAAAAAAAAACTGACACTGTACTAATGGCACTGGGGAGGAAGGGGTTAACTTTATTTAGCAGGGAAGGGTTATCGGAGTGAGGGGAGTGTTTTACTAGGGGGCGGGGGTGTGTACTGGGCGGGACAAGGCTGATCGAGAAAGTGAAACTATTCTTTCTCGATCAGCTCATCCTCGAGCTGACAGAGAGGTGACAGACAGCACAGCTACTGCAGCTGTGCTCTCTGTCACCGTTTACCGCCGATCGCCGGGACATAGCCGCTAATGAGCGGCTGTGACCCGGCAACTGACATCTGCGGCAGTGATCCACAGGACAAATAGGGCGGCAGCGCGCCTCGCGCGCGCCCCCTATTTGTTTACAAAACACACGTTTTTAAAACGTGGTTTTGCCTGATAGTGCCGCCCTGCCGCCGTATATCTACAGTGGCTGGGCGGCATGCAGTTAACTCTTCCTCATCTCTGTGACTGGGGTTGTATCTCTTGCCTACATACTTTGTAATGAAAAGTGCCCATTGTTCTCCTCTCACAATGTTGGGGAGCATTGTAACAAAACTTTAATAATCGTCATGTTAAGAGGATAGTTTACATCTGCATTATGTTATTAACAATCTGCTCCAATGTTGACTGGTAACTTGATTGTGCAGGTGTACCTCGGTTTACAAACGTCTCGGTTAATGTAATTTTCGGTTTACGAATGAAAATCCATTGAAAATAATGCCTCGGTTTGCAAATTTTTTACAAATTTCTTTTTCGCAATACGAAGTGTATGTCGGTGCCGATTTTTTTTAAATGCAATTGCTCACAGAATTAGCTGTCACTTTCCCCAGAGTTAAAGGAAGCTTTGTTTCTTTTAAGAAACTAAAATGAAACCTTGTTTCTTTTAACTTGGGGAAATAAACTAAAAGGAAACTTTCTTTCTTTTAGCTAGGGGGAAAGTGACAGTTGAATCTCTGAGCTATAGTGAAGAAAAAAAAAAAAGCGGTAATTACATTTAAAAACTGGCACCATAATAAAAAAAAAAAAACGGCGTGGGCTCCGCCCTCCCATCCGGGTCTGGTATGGATTTTGAGGGGAACTCCCACGCCAAAATTAGAAAAAAAAAAAGAAAATGATATGGATGGATGGGAGGGGGAAACCCCAATTTTTAATTGCTGGCAAATCTTTTACATTCAGCTGTCAATGGTCACTATTAAAATACCACATGACTTGATAAAATAACTCATGCAGTATTTTAGTAGCGTTTACTTATTTCTATCCTCCGGAACGGATTAAATGGTATTCAATGCATTCCGATGGGAAACGTTGTTTCGGTTTACGAATTTTTCGCTATACGAAAAGTCCCACAGAACAAATTAAATTAGTAAACCGAGGTATGCCTGTAAATCTGATTTGTTCCTTGATATAGCAATACATGTATAGAAAATCAGATTTAAAAAAGTATGTCAGATGTAATTTGAACATTTTAATTGGATGTAAGGATCCATGCATCTATTATAGTTGCCAGCCAGGACAGACACCTAGCATAGTGATGGCAGAAAAGACCAAGTGATCTATTAAGTTTATCCTTTTTTTTTTTTTTTTTTTTTACTTTTTTATGCCATTTTTGCCTGCATATAGGTTTGAGTTTGTCCCAAGCATGTTTAAATTCAGTTCCTGCAGGCTGACCCACTACCTCTACTGTTCCAAGCATCAACAATTATTTTGCTAATGTAATACTCTTCTCTTTCACTTTGGCTTTTATTTAAGGTGATTAGTATCTGACCAACATAATAGAACAAATTTTGTTTAATCATTAAAGTACAATACATACAAAAATAGGAGGAAGAGGTTTAGAAGAGAGGATGCATTAGTTAAATGAAAATTCAGTGCATAGAATGTAAAACGAGCTATTATTGTCAGTGGGCCAGACCATTCATTGGTATCTATGAGTGCTAACGTCACAGGGCTCATAAATGGGATTAAGTGTACAGAGTGATTTCACAAGAGAGCCCATGAGATCAGCACTCCCAGTTATGATATAAAAAAAACAATGGTATTCACACAGGCTACAAATGATAATATAATACTTTTCTAAAGTTATTTTTTAACCATTCCTCGTGATAGTTTGAGGTCTTGTCCCTCTGTCCTTGATTTCAGCTTGGTACTTAAAATCATGCCCTCCTGAACCTTATTCACGCCATTCATTTATTTAAAGGTTTCAGTCATGTCCCCCTTTTCCTCTTTGCTCCAGACTGTACATATTGAGTTTCTTCAATTTCTCCTGATATGTTTTATCCCTCAGACCTTTCACCATTTTTATTGACTGTCTTTGGACCCTGGTTATGTCTTACCAATTACTTTATGTAAGTGAGGTCTCTGTCTCTGGAACTAGACACAGTATTCTAAATGAGGTCTAAGTAAATGTCTGTAAAGAAGAATCGGGACCTTCTTCCTTCAGCTGGTGATAACTTTAGTGATAACTGAAGATCTATATAGAGGAATCAGGACCTCCTTCCTCCTGCTGGTGACCCCTCTAGTGATAACTAAAGATCTGTATAGAGGAATCAGGACCTCCTTCCTCCTGCTGGTGATCCCTTTAGTGATAACTAAAGATCTATATAGAGGATTCAGGACCTCCTGCTGGTGATCCGTCTGGTGATAACTAAAGATCTATATAGAGGATCGGGACCTTCTTCCCCCTGCTGGTGATCCCTCTAGTGAAGCCTTTTTCAACCAGGGTGCCTTCATGCGTGCCTTGACAAAATGCCTAAAAATTGTCCAAAAATGGTATACAAGCCAGCAGGTGGATCAAGCCTGCCTTTTAGTTACACAAAACCAAAGGTTTTCATTGTGCACCATTACAGCTTTCTAGTGGCTGGTGACCTAACAACCAATGATGTCATCAGCTGACAAGAAGGACATTGGGCACCTGCACAGCATCCTTACTTGCCCTTTTACTGCCCCTCTGCATAAGCACTGTGGTCACACTAGCTATGTGAGAGAGAGAAACTGAGTGAGAAGAGAAACCATGGAATACTATTCAGTACCAGTGTGCAAAAGTGTATTTGCTTTGGAAGAATAAATCGCCTCTAGCATTGGGTGTCCTACAAATGTTGCTGCGCTCTGTAAAACTATTTACTTTTTAAATTTTGTAATGGGTGCCTTGAGATTTTGTGCACAATTTTTAAAGGGTGCCTTGACTAAAAAAAGGTTGAGAAACACTGGTCTAGTGATAATTAAAGGTCTACCTAGAGAATCAGGACCTCCTTCCTCCCGTGATCCCTCTAATGATAGACACCACAATTCTGTTTGCTTTCCCCACTGCCAGGCCACATCGTTTTTGTTCATTTTGTATTCATGTGAAATGAGCACCCCAAATCTTTTTCCTCTGTATTTCCAGCTTACCCTGTACCCCCCTAATGTACTCTGTTGGGGGATTCTTTTTTCCTTAAGTGCATTATTTATAGGTTTTTTTTAGAGCACTCATTTTAAAAGCTGCCTTTTGTGTCCATTAACAAGTACAATTTATCCCACCTGAGCAGACAGCTAGGTACACGCTGGTTAATAAGTAATCCCAGCAGTTTTCTCAGCTGCTGAGACGCACTTCAATACTCCTCTCCCACACAATATGGTTCTTTTCTGTCAGATCTCAAAATATTTTTTAAATTAAATGTTTAACAATGAATAAACTAATCGCTGATTACTGGTCAGTCCGACTTGGATTTGATGATAAATGAAGAACATAAATACCAAAATGGGAAAACAATATTTTGATACAGCAAGCACCTTTAATGTAGGAAGACAACAAATGCAACTCCCCTGGGACATTAATGCAGCAACAAGAAAGCTTGTATCAAAAAGTATGTCAAAAAGATCCGAAATAAAAACTAGATTTATTATCATTACATCTAAAATAATGGCTTGAATTAAAGACAGTGCACATTTTTTAAATATTTTGATATCTTTTCATGTGTCAACACTGAAGAAATGACAGTTTGCTACAATGTGACGTAGTGAGTGTATAGTTTGTATAACATGTAAATTTGCTGTCCCCTCAAAATAACTCAACACACAGCCATGAATGTCTAAACCGCTGGCAACAAAAGTGAGTCCACGCCTAAGTCTGTGCCCACCTCCATGATGTTTCAGAGAGGCCCTCCTGACATTCAGGTGTTGGTTGTTCTCCCAATACCAGCCTGACTGCGGCTGTGGACATCACTGTGTGAGGAAGCCTTCCCACCTAGATTCTCCCTGGGGAGCCACTAGGTATGAATGTAAAACAGGCCCTGCATTTCTGATGTGTAGGAATTGGGGCTGATCTGAGGTCTGAAGGTCCAGAAATCAGAACTGATTGATTTGAGGTCTGAATTAAATTGACACTTAATGTGGAACTGAACTGCATCTGAGCATCACAAACTAAAAATGCTACTTAACTATTCATATTCAAAGCAAACTCCCCCATCCATCCATGTTTTCATGCTTTATTTTGCTGAGAATTAATTTTGAAAAACACCCCCTGGTATTTATGGCAGTGGCCATCTTGAGTAAGGGCAGATGATTCCGGTAGCGTTTACTTCCTGGAATCCATCTGCCCTTTAGCTCAGGCATTGACTAAGCTGAGAACCCTCCCTCCCCTCCTGAAGACTCCTGGGATGTATAATATCATTTGCCTAGAAATGGAAACCAGGAAGTAACGGAAAAAATGTAAAAAAAAAAAAAGTTTAAAACCAGTAAATGATATACTTGCCTATCTATTTGTTAATACTAGCTGCATAAGGATTAAAAGTTAGTCCATGTTGTTTGAGAGAGTGAAGTTCCACTTTAAATGCTAAGTTTGCCCTTTTCAGAAAATAGCCTATGCAGTGAAGGGGCCCCAGTAGATATATAAAAATTGTGCAGCTTTGTTAAATGTTCATTCGATTTTTGTCATAGCTGTAGGCCATTTGGGCCCCCTGGAAGCCTGGCTTAAAAGCTTTTATCTCCAAGCAAAAAATTGTTTTAGAGGACATAAACTGTTGGACGCTCCCAGCATTATGGGAGTTAGTGTCACATCCTAGCAAGGCACGACGTGGAGATTGCTAACTGGGAATTCTTCATTCAGGCTTCCATGGGTGCCCAGACAGCCTCAAGGTATGACAATAAATTATTGAACATTTTAAAAAGCAGCACAGTTCAATATCAGCTGGGGACCCTTGGTTACATAGGTTATTTTCTGGAAAAGGTGAAGCTATCCTTTAATGTAGAAAATGTTTCTGACTTGACCCATTAACCACTTCGACTGCCCTATAGCAGAAGTACTGCTACAGGGTGGCAGGGATGCTCAAAATCACGTTTATGTGATTTTGCATTTTCCGGGTAGGGGGCACACACACGCACACGTTCCCTACCTGCGAGACGCTATTGGCTCCTTGGCATGTCAATCACCGAGTCCTGGCCACCGATTCTCAGCCAGGCTCGGTGATCAGCAGCAGAGCTGACAGGGGAGAGGTCTGTATATAAACACAGATCTCTTCCCTGTCCGCACGAACAGGCTGCTTTGTATTGCTCTGCACAGCAGAGCAATACAGAGCAGATTGTCTACATAGTAAAGCACACTATGTAAAACACAGCACACAGTTAACCCCCAGATGTTAACCCCTTCCTACCCAGTGTTATTAGTACAGTGTCAGTGCTTTTTATTAACACTGATCACTGTGTTGGTGTCACTGGGGATGTCAGTGGCAGTTAGTCAGTTCCCACCAGTGTCAGAATGCCCGCCACAGTCCCACAATAAGTCGCTGATCGCCACCATTACTAGTAAAAAAATAAAATTAAAATTAAAATTCCAGTATCTATACCGCCATTTGTAAACGCTATAGCTTTCACGTAAACCAATTAATTTACATGTATTTTTTTTTTTTTTTTTTTTTTTTTTTAGCAGACATGTAGCAGAATACATTTTGGCCTAAATTTATGAAGAAATGTTATTTTTACAATTTTTTTTACTGGATATGTTTTATAGCAAAAAGTTATATATATTTAAAAAAAATTTGCTTATAGCGCTAAAAAAAAAACCTCAGAGGTGATCAAATACCACCGAAAGAAAGCTTTATTTGTAAAGGAGAAAAAAGGAAATAAATTTAATTTCTGTATAACATTGCATGACTGCGCAATTGTCAGTTAAATTAATGCACCTCTGTATCGCAAAAAATGGCCTGGTCAGGAAGGGGGTAAATCCTCTGGAGGGCAAGTGGTTAAGAACAGGAGATAAGTTGCCTAATCTTCAATAATTTCTCACATGTGGTTCTCCCAAATTCTTCCAGCTGGCCACTGTTCAGTAGGTAGTCAGGTGGTAAGCGAATGGATAGGTTATAGAGCCAGCCCCTATTACTTGTCTCACTCCTGAAGTGCTGTCTTTCTATTTTTTATTCCACTCCCCCCTCCAGTGACATAACCTGTAAATGCCAGCAGAGCCAAACTGGTTTATGGATCATTTTACAAACCTGCGCCAATATCTTGAGGGTTTTTAGATTGGACTTGGATGAATGACTGCCCTTGCCAGTTTATATCTGGTGTAATATTTACCCCATTGCTGAGATTTTCTTTCATTTCTGTTCTGGTGACACCAGAACAATAAATAGGAGGGCACTTGCAAGGGCACTTGCAACAATAAAAACGTTGTCAGACGTTCAAAGCTCACTTTACTATTAAATTATCAGCATCGCCATTGGGGAAGGGTAGGGAAAACCCTAAGAAAAATTTGGCTGGTATTTGGGCTTTAAACTTAAACTACCACCGTGGTCGATAGTGTATACTAATTCGGTTAGATGCCATTTTGTACCCTTCAGAAAGCTGCTGCCCAGTCTGAAGACAAAGAAGCCGCAGGAGCTGGTTCTGGTGATCGGGTCGGACGGGGATCAGTGCCGCTGTCGCCCCGCAGGTTCCTGCACTGAAGTCCTGGAAAGGGTTAATCCAGGCCCTGCTGGATGCTGCCAATGACTTTGACCTTCTAGAAGAAGAGGAGAGCAGAAAGTTCCAGAAGTGTCTCCATGAGGACAAGAACTTGATTCATGTGGCCCATGACCTCATCCAGAAGTTGTCCCCGGTCAGTGCCCACTCACAATACTACTAATTGATACTAGGGTCTATCCCTACAGCCAGCCACTGTGAGGAGCACCTCCACACTGGCAGCAGTTATTTAAAGTGTGGGGGGGGGGGGGGGGGGGGTAATATCCAGATACATGGTGTCTGTAGTGGGAATCAAACCCAGGACCCCAGTGCTGCAAGACCTTAGTGCTACACACTCTACCATAATTTGAGTGATCCTTTTCTGTTTTTTAAATATGTAGGTATTTAACATATATGTCCTTTTCAATCTTCTTTCCTCCTTTAGCGCACTAGTAATGTGCGGTCTACCTTCTTCAAGGACTGTCTGTACGAGGTGTTTGATGACTTGGAGTCCAAGATGGAGGACTCAGGCAAGCAACTGTTACAGTCCGTACTGCAGCTGATGGAGCATGGTGCCCTTGTCCTGACAACCAACTTCGACAACCTTCTGGAGATCTATGCCTATCACCAGGGGAAACAGTTGGAGTCCATCGATCTCACTGACGAAAAGAAGGTAACGCCAGACACCAACAAGCCTCTTGTGTGATTATGATACTGCTTGTACACATGATTATCCCTCAAACGGTTTAAAAAAGTCCAGGTGCTGTGTACAGCTGATTATAGACCTGAATGGTTAATGAGGGTGTACTCTGGTACTTGCATATAGCAGATTTTTTGTATTTGGGAAATACCCTATACACAGGGTTACACAAGTACCAGCATATGTTGGCATACAGCCATGTACACAGCACTTAGAATTCATTGTGTGCTCCTAATGCTCAGCCATGGGCATGAGGTCAAATACCCATGGTGTTCAAAGCACAGGCACACACGTGGCCCAGCAGCTGTCTTTGTACACCCCGTGGACTGGGTCATTACCTCTTGGGCACCTTTTATGGACTTTTTTAGAGCTGCATCAGGGTGGCGGGTGCTGAACGCTGTCTGGCACTGAGATACAGTACTTTTGAGGCGTAGTTTTTTTTTTATCCTGGCCTGGATGAGACAAAAATACTGCGCCGGAGTGCGTGTGTGTGGGTGTGTGTGTGGTGGGGGGTAAAGGGGGTTAACTTTCACTACCAATGTATTGACTGCCAGTGCGAGAGGGCTGAATTTCACTGCCACTGCAGAGATCACCAGTGTTTGGTGGGATGAAGTTTCACTACCTCTGTAAAAAGCCACCAGTGGGCAATGGGAGGGTTATGTTTCATTGGCATTGCAGGAACCAGTGCGAGATGGAGGAAGAATTTGGACTAGCTGTCAAGGAGTCACCAATCTGCCCACTTAATGTCAATGCAGGCTAAAGCTTGGCTGCTGTTTCCCCATAGACAGTGTGGATGATTCTAAGCTTTCCCAGTTAATGCCTTGCTTTTTGATCAATTAATGCTTGTGGTTGTTTGTTTTTTTTTTTCACGTGACAACATGGGGTTCTTCTGCATAATTTACAGGATGCTGGTGGGGGGATCAAAGCAGGTTCCGAACATCACATTCAGTGTGTTTTCAAGAAGAAAACTTTTCCCATGATTCCATGGGAATCCACTAACCTGTTAGGTGTGAACGCAAGTGTTGCTTCCGGTCATTGGCTGGGGGTTGTGACAGGGAGCTAGTGAAAATACACTTTAAATCGTGTGTGCCTGCTATACAGTTGGTTGACAACCAAAATGACACAGCTCTAGGGCATCTATAGGTATGTGTCAACCAATCCTATTTCCCCATGGTCACATGCACAGATCACAAGCATTTATGGAATCAGCTGTATTGCTAGCTTGGTGAAGCAGCACAGATCGCTCATTACCAAGATATTGAAGATTTTTTTCTCACCAGGTACTTGAATGGGCTCAAGAGAAGAAGAAACTTAGCGTCTTGCACATCCACGGCGTTTATACAAACCCCAGCGGGATCGTCCTTCACCCGGCCGGCTACCAGAATGTCCTGCGCAACACAGAGGTCATGGTGAGATCACACTCTCAATTTGATGATCTGAAAAAAAGAAACATGAGAAAGGAAGTGTCTAGTGATTATTGCCACTCTGAACTGGAGAATAGCATCTGTAATCTGATTAGGGGTAACATATACTTTTCAGTTATTTTATATTAGCCCCAGTTGTGTTGCATGTAGATACAGCAGGGATTGGCTGAATTTCGATCCATCTCTGGCCACTTCTGCTAGAGAAATCAATCTAACGATCGGCTCCTCTCACATGGGAATGTTGAAAAATTATTGTTGGATTAGCACTGCAGTCAGTATATTATGACAGTGGAGGTGTCTCTGCTGTCAGAATACAACAGTGTATCAGGGAGGATTTTCCCCGTCCACCTTGATTGTGTGGATGGGGAAATCTGTGTTTTTTGGATCAGCCGGCTATGGCCAGCTTTAGTCATTGATCATTGCACAAAGTTTTGACTTGCATTGATATCCCTTATTGACTAATCTAAATGCCAACCATAGCAAAAAATAAAAAGTATTTATCCATATACACTATATTGCCAAAAGTATTGGTTGGCCTGCCTTTACACACACATGAACTTTAATGGCATCCCAGCCTTAGTCCGTAGGGTTCAATATTGAGTTGGCCCCGCCCTTTGCAACTATAACAGCTTCAACTCTTCTGGGAAGGCCGTCCACAAGGTTTAGGAGGGTGTCTATGGGAAGGTTTGACCATTCTTCCAGAAGCACATTTGTGAGGTCAGGCACTGATGTCGGATGAGAAGGCCTGGCTCACAGTCTCCGCTCTAATTCATCCCAAAGGTGTTCTATGGGGTTTAGGTCAGGACTCTGTGCAGGCCAGTCAAGTTCCTCCACCCCAAACTCGCTCATCCATGTCTTTATGGACCTTGCTTTGTGTATTGGTGTGCAGTCATGCTGGAACAGGAAGGAGCCATCTCCAAACTGTTCCCACAAAGCTGAGAGCATGAAATTGTCCAAAATGTCTTGGTATGCTGACACCTTAAGAGTTCCCTTCACTGGAACTAGGGGGCCAAGCCCAACCCCTGAAAAACAACCCCACACCATATTCCCCCTTTCACCAAACTTTACACTTGGCACAATGCAGTCAGGCAAGTACCGTTCTCCTGGCAACCACCAAACCCAGACATGTCCATTAGATTGCCAGACAGAGAAGCATGATTCGTCACTCTAGAGAACACGTCTCCACTTTACAGCACAGCATCCGTTGCATTGCTTGGTGATGTAAGGCTTGGATGCTGCTGCCACCCCATTCCATGAAGCTCTCTATGCACTGTTGGGCTCATCTGAAGGCCACATGAAGTTTGGAGGTCTTTAGCTATTGACTCTGCAGACAGTTGGCGACTTCTGTGCACTTCAGCATGCGCTGACCCCGCTATGTCATTTTACGTGGCCTACCACTTTGTGGCTGAGTTGCTGTTGTTCCCAGTTGCTTCCACTTTGTTATAATCCCACTAACAGTTGAGCGTGGAATATTTAGTAGCCAGGAAATGTCACGGATGGACTTATTGCACAGGTGGCAGCCTATCATGGGACTTCGATTGAATTCACTGAGCTCCTGAGAGCGATCACATTCTTTCACAAATGTTTGTAGAAGTAGTCTGCATGCCTAGGTGCTTGATTGTATACACCTGCAGCCATGGAGGTGATTGGAACACTTGAATCCAATGATTTGGAGGGGTGTATCAATAATTTTAGCATATATATAGTGTATATTTTTTTTTGTTTTTGTTTTTTATTTTCAAATGGAAAAAAAAAATGGTTGTGTTTACTGCTCTCTGAAAAGTGATCTGCAGTATAGCAGTGGCAGTTTTACATTGCATGACTATGCTGCAACTGCGAGCCAAACATTTGGCTCACAGTCGTGGTGCAGTCAAATTGATCTCATTGGCCAAATTTGAAAGGCATTGCTGCCTGTTAAACTCTGCAGCAAAGCATCACAGCCGTGGCTGTGCACAGCTCTACCGGACTGTGATGTTAACATTCAGGAGGGGTTGCCGGAAGGATGTAAAAAAACAGCTACACCAGCTGCCTGTGCCCTAACTGTTTAAAAATGTGCTCACCGATGTTGCTGTTTAACATTACATGTCCATCTAAAGCTGGAAAGCTCTTAGTTCACTGGGCTTAGTTCAGATGAAAAAAAAAATAGCAGATTTCTCCATCCACACAAAAGAGATGAAGGGGAGAAATCCCTCATGCTGGGACCTTGTATTTTGACAGCAGCACATGCAGCTGTCAGAATACACTTATCAGCTACTGCAGCTGATTGGCTGCAGCCGCTGAATGATAAAAGTTATCTTAACGTCCCTCTGGCAGAAGTTAATCAAACAGTTGACTTCTGTTGAGTGGATACTACCACACACTGTTCAAAATTTTGTCCTTGCTGAAGACGACCCCTTCTAATGGATTACTACAACCGCTGTGCGATTTTTCACTGCAGAACAAAGTGTTGTCACTTTTATAGCGGGGAGAAATCTTCCAGTCTAGGTAGCTCTTCTAACATCTTCATTCCTGCTGCAGCGGGAGATCCAGAAGCTATACGAGAACAAATCCTTCCTGTTCCTGGGCTGTGGCCGCACTGTGGACGACACGACTTTTCAGGCGCTTTTCCTGGAAGCAGTGAAGCACAAGTCGGATCTGGAACACTTCATGTTGGTTCGGCGGGAAGACGTAGATGAGTTCAAGAAGCTGAGAGAGAACATGCTGGACAAGGGCATCAAAGTGATCTCCTATGGCACAGAGTATACTGACCTGCCTGAGTACTTTGAGAGGCTGGCTAACGAAATCTCCAACAAAGGCCGGACAGGTACACAGCCAGCTTTTAACTTGATATCTCCCCTGGTTCCACATACACATTTTGTTACTTATCAGATAGAATGAATTCCAACAAAAACCACTGCAGACCATGAATTTTACGTTCCTCAGCAGAGTTCCTTGTGCTGGGAGAATGTTGATATATTTTCTGTTGTGGAACTAGGAATATGCAGATGTGCATGCTCCCAGCTCAAAGACTGCTTGGTCACTGACAGTGCTGGTCTCACACAACAATCAGGAACCATGCTGAATTTTTCACGATCACGTGATCACTATGCCAGCCAGTCAGGATGGTCATGTGAGTTTATTTACAAACAGAAGTGCCAGCTCTGCTACCACTGTGCCTTGCATTAACCTCCTTACAGCAGTTGTGTGTGTATGTATGCATGTATGTGTGTATATGTATGTGTGTGTGTGTGTATATATATATATATATATATATATATATATATATATAAATTATTATTATTATTATACAGTATTTATAAAGCGCCAATAGTTCGCTCAGCGCTGTACATTACAAAAGGGGGACAGAACATGTGACAGAACATCCAATAGCAATACAATGCAAAACATGAGGGGATTGAGGGCCCTGCTCTTTCGAGCTTACAATCTAGGAGGGAGGGGGTGGTGGCACAGGAGGAGATAGCTGTGGGGGATGGAGTGGTAGGAAGAGTGGAGGAGGTCGGCAAGTTAGCAGGGGGGGGTGGGGTAGGCTTCCCTGAAGAGATGGGTTTTCAGGGTGCGCCTAAAGGAGAGGAGAGTAGGTGATAATCTGATGGGTTGGGGCAGGGAGTTCCAGAGGATGGGTGACACCCTGGAGAAGTCCTGGAGGCGGGCATGGGAGGAGGAGACCAGGGAACTAGAGAGAAGGAGGTCTTGTTTGGAGCAGAGTGTGCGTGCTGGGCGGTACTTGGATATTAGGTCAGTGATGTAGTTCGGGGCAGTATGGTGGACAGCTTTGTACGTCAGCGTTAGGATTTTGAATTTGATCCGTTGCACAATCGGAAGCCAGTGGAGGGATTGGCAGAGGGGGGTGGCGGAGACAGAGCGGTTGGAAAGGTGAATGAGTCTGGCAGCCGTATTCAGGATCGACTGAAGCGGGGATAGCCAGCGGCGAGGCAGGCCAGTGAGGAGGGAGTTGCAGTGGTCGAGTCGTGATATGATGAGAGAGTGGATGAGCTGTTTAGTGGTTTCTGGGGTTAGGAACGTGCGGATTTTGGCGATGTTGCGGAGGTGGAGTCTGCACGAGTTTGTTAAAGATTGGACTTGGGGCTGGAAGGATAGGTTGGAGTCCAGAATGACACCCAGTACTCTGGCCTGCAGGGCGGGTTTGATGGTAGCGTTGTTGGACGCGACGGAGAAATCAATGGGGGGTGGTGTCCGGGCTGGGGGGAAGACAAGAAACTCGGTTTTGGAGAGGTTCAATTTAAGGAAGTGGAGCGACATCCAGTCTGATATGTCGCTCAGTAGGTGTGTGATTCGGGCTGAGACCGAGGGGGTGAGGTGGGGGGTTGAGAGATAGATTTGTGTGTCGTCGGCATAGAGGTGGTAGTTGAAGCCGTGAGAGTGTATGAGTTGGCCAAGGGAGGAGGTATAGATGGAGAAGAGAAGGGGCCCGAGGACAGAGCCTTGAGGGACCCCAACAGAGAGGGGGGAGTGAGGGGGAGGTGGTAGCATTATAGGTAACGCTAAAGGAGCGTTGTGACAGGTAGGATGAGAGCCAGGAGAGAGCAGAATCTCTGAGGCCGAGGGAGTGTAGTTTTTTGAGGAGGAGGGGGGGTGGTCGACTGTGTCGAAGGCCGCAGAGAGGTCAAGGAGTAGGAGCACTGAATAGTGGCCATTAGCTTTGGCGGTTAGCAGGTCGTTGGAGAGTTTGAGTAAGGCAGTTTCGGTGGAGTGTAGGGGACGGAAGCTGGACTGTAGGGGATCGAGGAGGTTGTTGTCGTTGAGGTGAGAGCATAGGCGGGTGTAGACTAGGCGCTCGAGGAGTTTAGATGTAAATGGGAGCAGGGAGATGGGTCTGAGGTTGTTCGGGTCATTGGGGTCCAGGGAGGGCTTTTTAAGTATGGGGGTGATGTGTGCATGTTTCAGAGGGGAGGGGAAAGTGCCTGAGGAGAGGGAGAGATTGAAGATGTGGGTGAGGGAGCGTAGGATGGAGGAGGAGGAAGGTCGTAGGAGTTGTGAGGGGATAGGGTCGAGGGGGCAGGTGGTGAGGCGGGCATCAGAGAGGATCTTGGAGACTTCCTCGATGGTAGTAAGGTCAAAGGTGCGGAGTGTGGGGGGGCTTCAGTATGAGGAATGTAGGTGGGGTGGAAGAGGAGGTCAGAGCAGTGGTGGGGCCGTGGGAGAGGGGTGATGAGGGGGTAGCTGAGTGAGGGTGAAGGGGGTTGGAGAGAGTTTGAGCAGCGACGAAGTCCCTGCGGGTTATGTCGAGGGGGAGGGGGGATAAGGGGGTAGCTGTGTGAGAGGGGACAGGTTGAGAGGGCGTGTGAGTTGCGGCAATGTCCTTGCGAATTGTGTCAATCTTGTTTTTGAAGTGATTGGCAATCTCAAGGGCAGTGAGTGAGGTGCTGGGTGGAGGTGGGGGTGGAGAGAGTAGAGAGCTGAAGGCAGAGAAGAGTCAGCGAGGATTGGAGGAGAGGGCCTTGATGAGGGTCAAGAAGTAGGCCTGTTTGGCAGCATGGAGGGAGGAGGTGTAGGTGCGGAAGGCAGATTTATAGCGGGTGAAGGCTTGTTGGGATTTGGTTTTGCGCCATAGTCGCTCCAGGGCACGACTTTGTCGTTTGAGGGTTTTGGTGTGATCAGTCTGCCAGGGCTGGAGCGGCCGGGGTCTGATGTTGCGTGTGGTTAAAGGCGCTAGTGAGTCAAGGGCTGTTGAGAGCGCATTGTTGTAGGCGGTCAAAGCCAAGTCGGGGCAGGACAGGGGGAGGATGCGGTCGTGGAGTTGATCAGCTGCAGAGTGGAGGGAGGCAGGGTTAAGGTTGTGGAGGTTACGGCTGGTAGTAGTGTGACATTTGGAGGGGTAGGCGTTGGAGGATGAGGAGATAGAGAAGGTGATCAGGTTGTGGTCAGAGAGAGGGAAAGGGGGTGTTAGTGAGGTTGTGGGGAGCGCAGCGGTTGGAGAAGACAAGGTCCAGGATATTTCCGTCGGAGTGGGTGGTGGATTGTATGCACTGTGCAAGTGCAAAGGAGGAATGTTAGGTGGAGGAGACGGGCTGTGTCTGGGTTGTCGAGGTTGACAGGGATGTTGAAATCCCCAAGGATGATGGTGGGTAGCTCAGAGGAGAGGAAGAAGGGTAGCCAGGGAGGACTCGGAAGGTGCTCTGCGGTGACAGGAGCAGACCAACCCCACCACCTTTACGACCGTTAGGCCTGGGTGAGTGGGTCCAGGTGAGACCTCCGTAGGAGAGTGCAGCAGGGGAGGTAGAGTCAGTGGGCTGGATCCAGGTTTCCGTGATCGCTAGGAGGTTGAGGGAGCGGGAAACAAAGAGGTCGTGGATGGCGGTAAGCTTGTTGCACACCGAACGGGCGTTCAGGAGTGCACATGAAAATGGGGGGGAGATTTTAGGGAGCAGGGGGACAGATACTAAGTTGTGGGGGTTGCAGTAGGACGTGGAGGTGGGAGGGTGTTGAGCGGGTGAGGGAGGTGGAGGGCCAGGATTCGGGGAGATGTCCTCCCACGGTTAGGAGGAGGAGAAGGGTGAGAAAGGTGGCATGGGAGCGGGATGTGCAGGAGCGTGAGAAACTCCTAGTGGAGGTGTTGGGGTCAGTGGGAGAGCGGAGTAATAGGAGGAGGCGGTGGGTGCCATAGAGGGGCGAAGGAAGCAGCGAGGACACGATATACAATTGTTTGGGAGGGGCAGAGGGATATAGTGAATGGATTTTGGGAATGGAGGAGAGGAACATGAGAAGGAGGAGTGGAAGAGGCATTTTGGGGAGGTGAAGAGAGCAATAGTAGGGAGATGATAGCAGTGAGGGGGAGATGTACAGGTTGTGGGGTGGAGCAGAGGGGTAAAGAAATGAGATTTGGGAACAGAGGATAGTAATATGATAAGGAGAAGAGGGGGCGTATTATATAAAGGTACACAGAGTGGGACTCAGGCATGTAAGAGGTTTCCCAGGGTGTTTGCTTGCAGTCTTCCAGCATGAAGTAGAGCTTCTTGCTGTTGTTGTGTCTTCCTGCTGCTTGAGTTCTCCTGCTTTAGTTCAACTGCTGCGTTTAACTGCACTCGTTCTATGCACTCGTTCTAAGCCGCACTCAATCTGAAGCAGCACCCCCATCAGAGACTGTGCCCCCCATCAGATATATATATATATATAATTACACACACGACAGCAGGGCTAGTGGGCCTTAGCACCCAGCTGTCGCATGTGTGTCTCACTGTCTTGTTCTGGGATGCACTCCATTGGCTCCTCCAGAACTTTGACAAAGGTGCCATGGACAGCTAAGGTCAATTACTGACTATCAGGAGCCAGTAGGTGTGACTCCCAGTGACATCAACACTATGCAGCCAAACACAGTGCATCAAGACTGAGAGCTAATCGGCTAAAAGATTTCACTGCCAAAGCTTAACTGAACAAGCTGAAGTTAGAAGCTGATTGGCTGCCATGCACAACTGCACCAGATTCTGGGTGCACCAGTTTTAGTAAATCTCCCCCCATGTGTCTTCTTTTTATTTATTTTTTTGCACTCCTGCACCTCAACCTATGTATTTGGTGTTGCCTGACACTGCTAATTCTCAATTTCTCTGCTCTGTATGACAGGCACGATGATAGAACTGCCTCTGAAGAATGGGCCAAGCTTACCAAACAGTCCAAATAAAGGTAGGGAGCGAGGGAGATGCTTCTTAGGTGACTGCTTGCAATTGTACAATGCATTGCTATCCATAGTAAAGACTTATTGTCAGTGTCACCTCTCTGCCTGTAGACTTCTGGTTGTCACAGTTCTATATGTATAAACAGGTGCAGTATATTGTGTGCCCTGCTATTAACAGCCATTTGGGGGCACAGTACAAAGATCCCCTCCCATAGGCCTTGGGGTAGATAATGTTAATTGTTGGTAA